AAATAAAAGAGCAACAGAAAGTGGGAAAGGGAGGTTTCCCAGGGCTCTCTCTTTATAGCTCCCAACATAGGCAACCAAAGAAAGGTTGGCCTCCAAGATGTTTTACTGTGGCCTACGGACGTATGTAGTCCCAGCTACTCAGGAGGTTGAGGCAGGAGGATCGCTTGAGGCCAGGAGTTTGAGGTTGCTGTGAGCTAGGCTGACACCAGTGGCACACTAGCCTGGGCAACAGAGTGAGACTCTTTCTCAAAAAATAAATAAATAAAAGAGCAACAGAAAGTGGGAAAGGGAGGTTTCCCAGGGCTCTCTCTTTATAGCTCCCAACATAGGCAACCAAAGAAAGGTTGGCCTCCGAGATGTTTTACTATGGCCTACGGACGCATATTTAAGATAACTTTTGGTAATTTCACAAACTTCTGTAACTTTTCTAATGCCTATTTTTAATCCCCTATTTCTCAGTAATGTAGAGTAGTGAAAACGTTTAAGTGAAAAGCCTTGTGAGCCTGCTTCAAAATTAGTAGAAGCATTGCTTGAGGTCAGGAGTTCGAGACCAGCCTGAACAAGAGCAAGACCTCATCTCTACTAAAAATAGAAAGAAATTAGCCAGACAATTAAAAATATATATAGAAAAAATTAGCTGGGCGTGGTGCCACATGCCTATAGTCCCAGCTACACAGAAGGCTGAGGGAGGAGGATCGCTTGAGCTCAGGAGTGTGAGGTTGCTGTGAGCGAGGCTGACGCCACGGCACTCACTCTAGCCAGGGCAAGAGAGTGAGACTCTGTCTCAAAAAAAAAAAAAGAAAAGAAAAAGAAAATTTAGCAGAAGCTGTCCCCTTTGAGGCAAACTTTGGGGAAAAGGATTTCTGGAAGAAAATCTGGGCTGACCACAGCTGGGAAGAAAAGTCCCAGAAAACTGCAAGAAGAAATCTGGGACCCATGAAGGACGGATACTGGGTTGGAAAAAGTGCTTTCTGTCTTCAAAGATGGATGCTGAGTTCAGCTTTACATAGTACCTCGCTCATGAGACGATTTAATACATGGTTTTCTGATTTTGATTAGCATTTCTCTTCTAACTACTGCTCTTAAATTCAAATTATAGCTTTCCAGGGGATTTAAAAAAAAAAAAAAGATGAAGAAATATGCTGAGGCTCGCATAGAGATCAAATAACCACTCCATTTTAAAACCATAGATTCTGCCATTTGTTGGGTTTTCATACCAGGCTTGCCATTTCTCATGCTTGATGTCTACATACAAATATTCACATTGGAGAGCTTGAACAGAATCATTTGGTTGGTTTGAGCTCTGTAAGGAATATATGAAATGTTCCTTGAAATTATAGTGCCAAGTTTGCTTTTATATTTAGATGACTCATAACGACTTTATTTGCACACTATCCCTTTGGCATGAAAGATGATCCGGATGAATATGAAAGAAATACTTAATTTCACATTCATGCAAGGAGAAGATGGCAGCTTAATGTCCCTCCCATTCTGTTTACTTCCAACTCCATCCCAACTCCACCTGTTGGGGTCACTCAGTCTTCAGGTGGCACCCGAGTGATGGTTTCTTCACAGTGGGCAGGACAGGAGCTGGGGGTCAGGGTGGGATAGTTCTGACACGAAGACCTAAAAATGGTATTTGCTGGCAGTGGGACCCCCTGATGATGCCATGATAGTTGGCCTGTCAGGGGGTTGATTCCTGCCCTGTTTAAGTGTCCATATTCTCCCTGACCGCAGCAGCTGGGGAAGAACCAGATAGGCTAGGGGAACTGGAGGAGATCGGGGGGCAGGGGGGCTTCCTTCCCTTCTTCCTGAGAACCTGTCTGCCCCTACAGAACATCAGGCTATCAAATACCACTGGCCTTCCACCCTCTTAGGACCAGGGACACTTAAGCTATTCCCAAGGAACTCAAAACCAGAAAGAGAAAGTGCAAATTATTTATTGATTATTTGATTGATTGATTATTATTATTATTTTCTTTCAGGCAGAGTCTCACTCTGTTGCCCGGGCTAGAGTGCTGTGGCGCCAGCCTTGCTCACAGCAACCTCAAACTCCTGGGCTTGAGCGATCCTCCTGCCTCCCAAGCAGCTGGGACTACAGGCATGCGCCACCATGCCCAGCTAATTTTTTCTATATATATTAGTTGGCCAATTAATTTCTTTCTATTTATAGTAGAGACAGGGTCTCGCTCTTGCTCAGGCTGGTCTCGAACTCCTGAGCTCAAATGATCTGCCCACCTCGGCCTCCCAGAGTGCTAGGATTACAGATGCGAGCTACCGCGCCCAGCCTTGAGAAAGAGCAAATTAAACAATCAGAGCAAGTCCCTTATGAAACAGAGTTAATGGAAGAGATTGATGACAACTTGTACAGCAAGAAAAAAATTAATAAGAACCACAAAGGAGATCTAAATGCGGCACAAAGGAGACGCTCTGGAGAGAAGTAAAACCATGATTTTCAGACTAAAAACTTAATAATAGAATAAAGGCCATTGTTGAGACTCAAATTAGAAGCCTAGAAAATCCAATAGAAGAAATATCTCAAATCACAGAGCAAAAAATACAGAAGGATAGAAGTTATGACCAAAAAAAAAGGTGAGAATTTTGGAAGATAGCCTCTGAAGGATAGATTCTATTATAGAAAGAGGAAAAACAGCAGAAGGAGGAGAGATAATAATAGAAAAAATTTGTTTTTTTGTGGTGAAGAAAGAACTGAGTCTACAAATTCAAAAGGCTCATTAAGTTCCAGACATACGCAATGAGAAACATATCTGGGCATATGCTGGTAAAATTCTTAAACTTCAAGATAAAGAGGAAACCTTACAAGTTTCCAGGGGAAAAATGAGTAAATTGCAAAGAAAAAGAGTCAGACAGGCATGAGACTTATCTACAGCTTTGGAGGCTGAAAGTGGAGCAAACTCTGTGAACTATTGAGAGAAAAGAACTGCAATCCAAGAATCCTATATCCAAGAAAGTTGTTATTTACCTTTCAGTGTGGGTGAAAGTGTGTTCCCTTTCTTCCTGTCTTTTCCTTCCTCAGGCGCCCATTGCTCATGTCATTGGATGTGGAAAGAGATTTTAAAATTGTCTCAAAATTTCAGCTTAAACCTCAAAGCTGAGGACAACAGGTGACAAATGCCCTTATGTTCAAAAGGGAGATATTGGATACACCCATGCAAGACTTACTAAGAGCTCACCAAACCGATTCTTCAACAATCAGCACCACTACCCATTTACAACTTATATAAGAAAAGAGATTTATTGATGAGATTCTTGGTAGTAAGAGAATTCGTGTGAGTAGAAAGCCTTATAGCATGCTTTCTCTCCCACCACCAAATCAAAAGAACTGGTCCCACTTGGGAGGGGTCCAAATGACCCACTTTAAAGATTGGTGCTATCTACAAGAGAGGAGACTGGTATCTATCTCATTTTCTAGCCGGAAGCTGGATGAGCTAGCACAATGAAACATAAGAACATTTTGGGGAGATAATGTCTCCAGCAAATTGTGTCATACAGGATGAAGGTAGAGACTGGTGGTCCTACTCTCCCCTCCTAGGGTGGGGAGTCTAGCTAGAGATGCCCATGAGGCAGGACAACATTGTCTAACCAGCCAGCCCAGATTCTTAAAAATCCCTCCTTCCACTGAAAATACCATATTGCTGATTGGCAATGAAAAAAAACCCAACTCTGTCCCTATAAGTACCCTCAGATCACAAAGCCCAATTTTCATTTAAAAAATATGGTCACCATCCACCTAGCCTTTCTACTTTATGTCATCATTTACTTTCATGTTTATGCTGTACATCTCACTAGAACTCCTCGAGAGCAGTGCTTTTATTATTATTATTATTTGTCTCGTGCATCCGCAGGCTTAGCACGCAGTAGATTCTAGGTGAATGTTTGTTGGTGGTGTTTATGTTGCTGATGATTCAGTTCTTTCCTCTTCCCTTTTTGCGGTCCTTTCCCACCTCCCAAATATTTATTGCCCTTAAATCAACTTCTCAGCGAACTGGGAATCAAGACCATGGGCTCGAGGTTTTGCTAATGATCTGTGGTCCAGGTTTCTAGAAAGGCTTTGTGCTACTTTCTCTATTTTAAAAATGGGAACAACAATATATTTTCCTTGGCATAATCACTAAGCATTTTAGCAGAACCAAATGAGATGCTGGGAACTGCGTTTCTCCATAAATTTGACTATGTGTCATTAGCCTTTTGCAAGATCATTTCTGGAACGATATAGAAATAACATTAAAAGGATTCTGGCTTCTCAAAGGACTTTCTTTTTAATATGTTTGTCAGTTTAGAAATCAAGCTTTCAGCCCTTTAGGAATAAGATAGCAGGGCTATGAATCAATTGATTTGTCTCAAAGATTTAAACACTGTGAAGAAAACATTAACTCAAAGCCTTCTCATTCTCTAAAGGTTAGAAATTATATCCCAATTTCCATTTCCAAACTTGTTCTCTATTAGTCACAAGGAGGAGTCTACTGCACCCTATTTTAGCACAAGGCAGATTAAGTGCGAGATCGACATTTGCTCTCAAAGAAAGCAAATAGCTTGAGAAACTACCACTATTTGGAGAAAAGCAAAAAAATAATGAGATTATCTGGCAAGTTTTATTTGCTAAGTTAATTCTCTGGATAATTCAGGAAAAAAAATAAGCCCAGAAACTGAACTATCTAGATAATCTGTCATCATCTGAATTTGCTTATTGTAAATTGGTCAATCCTTAATTTTCCTGTTGGTTTTTTAAAACTAGAGCAATAAGTCTAGCATCCAATTTTTCCTCCCTGGTAGTAGAGAGTCCAGGGCTCTGGTCTCAGCTAGGACCTTAGATATGCAGAGTCAGAGCTGCCTGGGGTGCAGGTGAATAGCAGTGGGGACCTGAGGTCAGTGACCCCACAAAGGGGTTTGGGGAAGCAAGGACAGGGATCAAAGTGAGGTCAGTAGCACAGTAAAGGCCAGGCAGTGGCTCACGCCTGTAATCCTAGCACTCTGGGAGGCTGAGGTGGGAGGAGCGCATAAGGTCAGGAGTTCAAAACCAGAGTGAGCAAGAGTGAGACCCTGTCTCTACTAAAAATAGAGATTAATTGGCCAACTAAAAATATATAGAAAAAATTAGCCGGGCATGGTGGCACACGCCTATAGTCCCAGCTACTCGGAAGGCTGAGGCGGGAGGATCGCTTGAGCCCAGGAGTTTGAGGTTGCTGTGAGCTAGGCTGATGCCACGGCACTCTAGCCCAGGCAACAGAGTGAGACTCTGTCTCAAAAAAATAAAAATAAAAATAACAGCATGTTCTACTTATCTTCTTCATAACAAATGAAGCAATAATTTAAAATCAAGCAGTGCTTTCTGAAATTGTTTCACTAAGGTAAAAGAGTCAAGACAGCAGTATTTAGTGAAAATAAGCAAATAATGAAAGAAAAGGCGAAATAGGCTGCAGATGTAGCTTAGGGTAGAGAAAGGAATACTGCTGAGGAACCAGGAGGAAAGAGGAGCCAGAGAGAAAAGGAAAAGAATTAAAAGGGAAGCATACTCTAGACCAACAATAAAGGGAGTAGACTGAAAATTAATAGAGCAGGTGATTTTTTATGTAACTATAGCAATTAATTTAAAAGGGAGACTCAGATGCTAAAGGTGATTTAATTTACTTAGGCCATAGAGTTTTACAGTTGACCAATGTTTTCTTCAACACTCTTATTTCAGATTGGGGAAACTGAGTCTGAGTTAAGTAAGTTTCCCTGTGGTTCACTACGGAGCGGGAGGTAGAACTCACATCGCCGAGAGCAGCTTGATGCAGTGATCCATCCACCCGCTGCATTGCCTACTGAGAACTGGACTCTGGTCTTCGTCTTTGCCCAAAAAATTCCTTTCTAAGGGGGCCTGGTGAGCCACGCCTACAAATGATAAAATCTCAGTAAACGGGTTTTTATGATGTGGTTTACTTCCCAACCTGATTCCGGCATAGCATCACGTAAAAGATAGAAGGCCCTTACCTTAATTAACTCAAGCAGTCCTTTCCGCTGATTGCTAGGCATTTGGACAGAGCCTAACTCTTTCAGCCAATTGTCAACTAAAGAATCCCTAAATCTACCTGTGATTTGTAAGCCCCCGCTTTGAGATGTCCCACTTTTGGGGCCAAACCAATGTATGTCTTCCACGTATTTTTTGTTTGTTTGTTTGTTTGTTTGTTTGAGACAGAGTCTCACTCTGTTGCCTGGGCTAGAGTGCCATGGCGTCAGCCTAGCTCACAGCAACCTCAACTCCCGAGTAGCTGGGACTACAGGCATGCGCCACCAGGCACACTACACCCAGGGCAGGAAAACTCTGGAATATGGTTGTAACAGAGTCACATAAGCAGGATTACACTTTTATGCCTGTGTAGTCCTCATTTTCTGTTTTTAAGTCTTTTTTTAAAAAAAAAGATAGTGGGGCATGCTTCTCCTGTTTTAGGGTTTTTTTTTTTGAGGCAGAGTCTCACTTTGTTGCCCAGGCTAGAATGAGTGCTGTGGCGTCAGTCTAGCTCACAGCAACCTCAAACCCCTGGGCTCAAGCAATCCTGCTGCCTCAGCCTCCCGAGTGGCTGGGACTACAGGCATGCACCACCATGCCCAGCTAATTTTTTCTATATATATTAGTTGGCCAATTAATTTCTTTCTGTTTATAGTAGAGATGGGATCTTGCTCTTGCTCAGGCTGGTCCGAAACTCCTGATCTTGAGCAATCCACCCGCCTCAGCCTCCCAGAGTGCTAGGATTACAGGCGTGAGCCACCGTGCCCAGCCCTGTTTTAGGTATTTTAATAGACACATGATACGGAGAAATAAAAACTGGAAATTGAGAATGAAAAATATCAACAACTGTTACACGAATCCATTCTTATACTATTCTTATTTCTGTTTTTCCTGCAGAACATTCTCTCGAACACATTCCTCGTCATCCAGTAGAGAAAGTATCAAAAAGGAATCTTCTTTAATTAGGCCCTAAAATAAGATTACAACCCACAAAAGAGGAGCTGGCCTACAAATACTTCCATTATGATTGCTGTCATTTCCCTTTACAAAAAAAAAAAAAAAAAGAATGAAGTATATCAAATTTGAACAATAAGCCCTTGTTTGGAATAGTTTTTGATTTTTCTAGTTAAGAGGTCGTTTTAAGATAAAATGGGAAATTAAAGAAACCAAGCAAATAAAAACCAAATTGGCTGTGTGATACATTGAACTTGAAGTTGCTTAGTTTTATTAAACTGTAAAAGCACATTATTTCCCAGTGAAATATACATGCCAAAATAGCATTTGGTCTATAATTTTGGCCAGTGCGTAGGAAGACACCAGGTGCATTTTTGAACGCTTCTTGCCACGACTTTGAGTTTCTCTGATAAACTTCACTCACAGCTTAGCAACCTTATATTCAGCTGGTGAAAGACTCAAGCATTGAGTGGCTGGGACGGCTCATGAATGCGTCTTTGTCTGGGCAGAGAAGTGCTATGGTAGGGCACTGTCCGGCCTAGCGCTTGCCATTTAAACCTCCCCTTGCTGAGATTTAGAGCTTGGCTGGGACACTTTATTCATCAGACAACTTCGTGTCAAAGGATTACTTTTTATAAAGTCTGAAAACACACACACCAAATAGAACAAATCAAACATTTTGTAAACGGGCAGAGCTTGATTTTTCTCCCTTCTTATATAAGTTGTGTTTTTACTTTTCGGGAAAAGACGCAATTAGGAAAGTGGGTGTTTCAATGAGACCTTTGATGAAAAATCAATCATACCCTGGGCAAACATCTGTTACGTAATGTAGTGTTAGTTCCATTTGGAATCTTGCAAAAACTAAGACTTGGAAAAAGTGTGGTAATTTGTTTTCTTTTAGTCAGGGCATTTCCGCTAAGAAAAAGTACCTGGGAGTCTACTGAATCAGTTAAAAAAAAAAAACACCTTGTAGTAAAAATCACTTAATGTTCTAAACTACAATAACTGATATACTTTGTAAAATAATGCAAAAAAACAAATTTTTTAAAGTTCCATGAAACTGTAACAGTGAAGTGTTACAGAACTCAAGGATGAACAGGCCTCGGAAGTCACTTGCCCTGTCTTCCCACCCAGCAGGACTGTCCCCTCAATTGTTTTTTTCAGCATTTTCTGGAGTCTCATGGAATGTCTAAAGCAACAGAATATAGTCCTTTGAATTACAATTGTGTTTTGCATTGCAACATCTGGTCAACTAGAGCAATGCTGAGCAGAAATGATTTTCTAAATTGAATGCTGCTTTTAATCCTTCACTAAAAGATTTAAAATTAAGGCAGTGATACTCTTTTTTTAATGTTGGTATTCTATTTGGAGGTGGATGTTAGCCTGGTACGTAATTCATAGAATAAGCATTAGTTCAAAAATTTTTTTTTTTTTTTTTTGAGAGTCTCACTTTGTTGCCCAGGCTAGAGTGAGTGCCGTGGCATCAGCCTAGCTCACAGCAACCTCAAACTCCTGGGCTCAAAGATCCTACTGCCTCAGCCTCCCGAGTAGCTGGGACTACAGGCATGCGCCACCATGCCCAGCTAATTTTCTTTTATATATATATATATATCAGTTGGCCAATTAATTTCTTTCTATTTATAGTAGAGATGGGGTCTCGCTCTTGCTCAGGCTGGTTTGGAACTCCTGACCTCAAGCAATCCGCCCGCCTCGGCCTCCCAGAGAGCTAGGATTACAGGATTACAGGCATGAGCCACCGTGGTCTATGTAGAGTCATGCTGTAATAAGGTCCTACTGTAACACATGGTGTTTTATTGCTTTATCATGTACAATTATTTCATAAAATGATGTACTATCTATTTAAATATTCAGTCTGAATGGTCTGATAAAAAAATAGTTTATTGAGGAAAATAAATTATCTTAAGACACAAAGTATATTATAGCTGAGGAACCCTCGAGAATAATTGCTGAGACATTTGTTGAGAAAAAGAAACAATTGATATGCTTTATTTGTGCGAGTGATAAGAGTAAATAAACGAGTTGAAAATCTGGTCATTCCATAGACTAAAAATGTATCCTGTCTTTTATCAATATTACTTGAGTTCTAAGTAGAATGAACAATGCTATAAGCAATTCCCCCACACCAGTGAAAACTTTTTGAAAAGCAGTACCAATAGCCTTTACTTTTGTGTTTTCAGCTGTGCATCCTGCCTCCGTCAGCAAATTTTCTTCTTGGCAAAAAAGCTTTCAGGGCTTGTGAATCCATTCTCTCTGTTCTGAGAGAAACATCGATAAACATCAAGTATATAATTGGATCATTTAGGATCACTGTTTTTATAGTGTAGTCGTTTTAAGCATTCCCTACCGTAAAATGGTCATTTCCCAAACAGTTCCTTTGAAACCCTGTGGCGTCCACCCACAGTGGGCACAAAAGGAATGGGCAGGCTGGGGGAGGGTTGCGGGGAGGGGTGGAGCATCTGTCTGTCACATGTACGTCTGCACCACAGAAGGGAATTTAAAATTGGTAGGGGGTGGCAATATGTAATCATCAAAGCTGTTTCCTTTTTACCAAAAGCCCAAAATGGTTTATACTACCTTCCCATTGCTATCTGATTGAGAAGCAAAAAGGAAGCGAGAGACAACAGGGAGGGGAACAAGGATAAGAGCAGGAGGGTGGAGAGGCGAGGCTGGAAGGAGAGGCTGTGGCGAAGGGGGTGGAGGACTATATAGAGCGGGGTATTCGCTATAGCACCAACGATGGAGCATAAACCGCCGCCCAGGTGCCACCTCCAGGAAGTCTTTTCTGACCCCTCTCCCAGCTCATTGTCATATCCCCTTTCTTCGTCATTTGCTGCTGCATAACAAATTAACTCAAAACCATCTCACAAAGTTTCCAAGGCTCGGGAATCCAGGAGCAGTTTAGCCGAGTCGCTGTGGCTCAGTCTCTCGAGGCTACTGGCTGGGCCAATATTTGTCTTCTGAAGGCTTGACAGGGATGGAAGAATTTGCTTCCAACATGACTCGCTCACGTGGCTGCTGGCAGGCTACCTCTGTTCTTCACCTAGTGTGCCCCTTCTCAGGCTGGTCAAGCATCCTTACAGCATGGCGACAGATTCCCCCAGCAGCAAGTGGACCTAGAGAGAGTAAGCAGGAAGCTGCCATGCCTTTCATGACCTAGTCTCTCCAGTGGCCAGGTTATGGACACTACTCCTTTTCCTTTTTTCGTATTTGGAATGAGTTCCTTAATCCAGCCCACAAAAGCCAAGAGGAATCAGGCTCCTCCTTTTGGAGGGAACATCAAAGAATTTGTGGACATATTTTAAACCACCATACGACTTACCCTCCCTGGCTGGCAAAGGAAGAGGTCCTGCCCTCTGTCCTCCTGCGTGGGAAGCTAGCACGTTGCATTTATAACATCCCTTCTCAGCCCATCAGTCTTTTATCCATGTCGTAACAAAAATCGCTAATGGAAATAATTCATACAAAATAAAACAGAGAATGGCCCAGACTGCATACAGTAAAAGTTTTGCCCGGAAGATCACAAAATTTTAACAAAATTAGAGCTTCCAAAATGTGACTTATGTAAATTGAACTTGTTAAAAATAATGGCCACAAAAGAAAACAGATAATAGCAAAAGCTCTTGTTGTTAGAATTTGATGTGTACAAAAAGTTGCATGACAGGAAAAAAAAAAGAAAAAGAAAAATGGGAGTAGTTGAATTGCAGCGCAGAGAAAATTGATCAAAAAATTAGCCTAATGGCACTCATTCTGAAAACACCATCTTTACAGTCAACATTTTTGGTATAATTCTGATTAAAATGCTTGTTAGTACACAGAGTAAAAGTGTTCTTGAGATTAAAACAGAGAAATCAAAATATGTCTGGAGACAACATCTATTCATTCATTATTTTATTTTATTTTGTTTTATTTTTTGACACAGAATCTTGGCTGTTGCCCTAGGTAGAATGTGGTGGTGTTATCATAGCTCACTGCAACCTCCAACTCCTGGGCTCAAATGATCTTTCTGCCTCAGCCTCCCAAGTAGCTGGGACTACCGGCATGAGCCACAATGCCTGACTATGACTATTTGTTTAGTAGAGACGGGTCTTGATCTTGCTCAGGTTGGTCTCGAACTCCTGAGCTCAAGCGATCCTCCTGCCTCAGCCTCCCCAGAGTGCTAGGATTACAGGCGTGAGCCATTGCACCCACCTCTTTTTCTGTATTTTTAAAATTAAATAGATGAATACAAATTGCTTTCATCATTAGAAAAAATGTAATTTTTTAAGTATAAAAAATACACTCAATGTAATTAGAGAGATATATTCTAAATTTTTTTTGTATTGATGTAGGGTTCCTTAAGTTATTTATACTGTTTTCCTTTTTTCTGATGAAAAAAATCCATAACATATTTAATTTTAAAAAAAGCTGGCTAAGATTGGGGTAATTTGGGTACAGGCTATGAGTACGACCACCTCCTGTCCACCCTACCCCTACTTCTCTACTCCCATTTCCCGTTCCTGCCTTTACTCTGAAAAGCTAACCAGACTAGCTAGAGGCTCATGGAAGGTAAACAATAAAATTTATAGGCCAGGCGCGGTGGCTCACGCCTGTAATCCTAGCACTCTGGGAGGCTGAGGAGGGAGGATCGTTTGAGCTCAGGAGTTCGAGACCAGCCTGAGCAAGAGCGAGACCCCGTCTCTACTAAAAATAGAAAGAAATTAATTGGCCAACTAATATATAGAGAGAAAATTAGCCGGGCATGGTGGTGCGTGCCTGTAGTCCCAGCTACTAGGGAGGCTGAGGCAGGAGGATTGCTTGAGCCCAGGAGTTTGAGGTTGCTGTGAGCTAGGCTGATGCCATGACACTCATGCTAGCCTAGGCAACAGAGCGAGACTCTGTCTCATAACAAAAAACAATAAAATTCATTTCAACCAAAATAAAAGTTAAATGATCACAAGCATACAACCTACTTGGACCAGCTCCTTTATGTGAATATTAAGATAAATATACAAGACTTGGTGGGGGAATAATTACTTACTATTAGCACACATCCAGGCAGTTCTTAGATAATTT